AACTATGATATAGGATCTGGCAGCCTCAATACAAACGAAAATTTCTTCTAAACTTTCTTTATCATAGCAGCCAAATGCAGACTAGTCATCCAGTTATTGAATAAGCATTGTTAGTAATAATGGGGCATTGCTTAGTTTTCTTTCATTGAACATATGTAGTTTGACCTTTTCGCAACTTGGCCGTGTTATCAGGCTGACATAAATAAACACATCTTGTAAACTCACTAAGTTTATTTCGGAATAGGTCCCGAAGACGATTTGCTGTCATGGCCTCCAAGCTACCATCATTATATTTATCTCCATTAAAATGTTTTCAATTGTAGCTGTGGGAAATTACTTTTGATTGAAGGTATAAAGACCATGCTGGTGTGGCCTTTGGATAGTCGCTGTATCCTTTCGTTGTTTCGTTCTTGTTTGACCTCGTTTTCGCAACTTGGTCATATTGGCAGGTAGACCTAGAAGAACGTACCTAGTCCATAGTATTGAGGAGAATTTCCAAGGTCGGATCGTGAACTTTGTACATTTTCAAAATTGTACCGATTTTTGAAATTATCATGCATGCAATGGACTCCGGACTAAGTGCTTTCCTCTATGACTTCCTGCCAATATGACCAAGTTGCGAAAGTAATCTCAAACAACTATTAATTTTGATTGTTTTTGCTATAATCTTGTGCTTACATTTTTTTATATTTCTGTTTGTTTCTTGCGATGCCTTTTGTCTTCTAACTTGTTTTATATGATTCTATAAAATATCTTAAAATTCGTCATATTTTGTTTTATTATCTTTCATTGTCTCTTTGTAATCATGTCTTCGCATCCTATCTTTTTTCCTCATGCTTGTAGGTCTCAAGTTTTCTCCAACTAATAGTTTGGACGACCTACTCACTTCTTTCTGCTCAAATCCATCCGCTCCAGTATCCTCAAAAAGTTCAAGCTCTCCTCATCCTTTCTCACCTGGTTGTGCCTCTATTATCGCTAGCCAAGCTTGCCTATCTTCTACTCATTTACCATCCAACCGCGCTGACAATAAACCTCTCGCCATCTCAATTCGATCCGATCTCCCGCTTCCGTCTATTGGATCAAAAACTTTGTCTTTCCAATCACCACCTATCGTTAATTGGACAACTGGCACCACTTCTTCTTACTCTGTTCCTTCAACCTCAATACAAATCAAATCCAAACACTCAACTGGGGGTGAAAATGTTTCCCAAGCATTCGAAGACCTTGATATGATGGGACGACAAATATTTGGCCTATTAAAAACTGAGTGAGCTGCTCTTTTATAACTGTCTAGATTTTTTGTCTATTTTGTTTATTCACTACTTGCATTCATAATTCGTTCCTATAAGCACTTGTGTAGGTTTTTCAGTAAATTGTGAGTTTTACTTAAGATTTTTCACCATTACTATTCATCTGGGTCCATTGTTTACATGTCCTCTTAAAGTCCCTTGATTTATAAACCCATCCTTGGGGTGCACCGAAATTCATTGATGGACCCCACTTTCTGCCATTGTGGTTTAGGGAAAACGATTTCTTTGTGTTAATACATTTGTCACATGATTGACGAATGTTCTCATCATGTTTTGACCCAGGCCAAATTACATTTCGTTTAGCTCCATAACTGCTGTGCCGACAACTCGAATCAGGGCATTATTCACAAGTTCCTTCATACGAATCCAAGATTCCGTTCGCATCGAATGAGGTTAATTGGAGATGTTATTATCTCAAGAGTTCCATTAAGGTTTGCTCCCTCGATTCTTCTTTTCTTCACAGT